CAATTCTCTCGAATTACCCCCCTATTTTTAGCCAAACCAAATGGTCCTGAGGAGGTTTATGTCAAGAATGTACTTGCTAACTCCTGCACCGTTGAATGGACCCCGCCAAAATCTGATGGTGGTTCTCCGGTCACTGGCTACGCAGTGGAAGTGTGTGATGAAGCTACAGGTGTTTGGACACCCGTCTCCAAATCCACCAAGGACAACTCTGTGGAGGTTCCCGGACTCACTGAAGGTCATCGTTACAATTTCCGTGTATCAGCTATCAATGATCTGGGTCGTTCGGAACCTACAGAAACCCTCCTCTCTACTCTTGCCAAAAATCCGTTTGGTAGGTAGCTGTTCCTTCAGACTGTTGTTTTAGAGAGAGTGGTAATAAGATTTAAACAATTTTTTGTTCAGACAACCCTGATTCACCGCAATCCGTGAAAATTGACGACTACGACAGAAATTCAGTGGTTTTGTCTTGGCAACCACCAGATAGTGATGGAGGAAACCCAATAAAGGGCTATGTCGTGGAGAAACGCACACCAAAGGGCCAATGGGTCAAGGCCACAGCTGGGATCATACCTGGCACCACAGCTACTTTGACAGGCCTTGAACCTGGACGCGAATACGAGTTCCGTGTTGCTGCTGTTAATGATGGCGGTCCTGGCGACTTTTCAAGACCTACCTTGCCTCATCTCATGCGGGATAAGATCGGTAGCTCTTATTTCTTGTGTATTACCTATGATAGCACCTTGTCAAGTTGATTTTCGACTTTGAGAGGTTCGTGATGACTATTGGCACTAAGCTTACAGGGATTGAATCAAGTCGTATTCTTCTACACAGCTTCTACTTTGTGTTTAGTTTGGTCCTCGAGACTTCGTGTCTAAGTTTTCACCTTTAATCCAAACACTCACCTGCAAATTGAATATATTTATGGTCGGCAAAGGAAAAAAAACACTTCTTCTGCTGCATGGGAGGTTTTCCACTTTCAACAAGGTTTTCTTATCTTATTGAATCCAATGTATCTGTCCGCAAATTCGTACACGTAGAGGTCATTTATTGAATACAATTTGGGGTTGAGGGCAGCATTGCAGGGCAGAACAAATTTATTCGAAGAGTCAGTGGTTCATTGTAACAGTTTCCTTCACTTAAAGCTCCTGCTGGATCTCCTGATGGTTTGAATGTGGACAAGGTGAACAAGAATGGCACAAGACTGTCGTGGAAGAAGCCTCGTAATGACGGAGGCTCACCAATCACAGGTTACGTGGTTGAGAAGAAGGACGAGAAGGGTGAATGGACACCAGTGAAACAGACCACAGAACCGGAGGCCTTCATACCAATGAAGGAGGGTGAGAAAGCTCAATTCCGTGTTCGAGCTGTCAATGAGGAGGGTGAAGGTGAGCCCAGTCGTCCAACTCCAATGATCACCGCCGAAGATCAACCCATGGCTCCACGCATTGCCACTCCAGCAGACGGACTCATTGACAGTCCACGCTCTGGAATTGGTGGGTTGAAAGACATTACAGTCAAAGTGAGTTTCTACTTTCCGGCATTACTTATGCGCTTGATGCTGTACCCTAATTGAATTTATTCCTCTTCAGGCCGGCCAAGAACTTCGTCTACCTGTGACCTGGTTTGGCAGTCCCACTCCTGTTACCAATTGGACCCACAATGACAAGCCCATCAAACCAGATGGTTCTCGCATTAAAGCGATGAATGAGGATGCACCTCATTCTGCAAAGCCTCTTCTTGGTGGCTACCTTGAAGAAGAACCGGCTGGAACCTCAGTTCTTGTCATTCAGAAAGCAAAACGAGACGACGCTGGTACCTATGGCGTTACTATTGAAAATCCTCTTGGACAGACGCGCAGTTCTTGCAAAGTTATTGTGTTAGGTCGGTGAAACGTGTGTCAAAATAAGTGTTATGTTTATTATTCACTTCTCTATGAGTGAGTTGATTTGTCTTGTAGATGCACCTGCTGCACCTGGAGGTCCGTTGGAAGCTGCAGACATCAAATCGGATGAGATAACGCTTAAATGGAAACCTCCCGAAGATGACGGTGGTGAACCGGTTAAGAATTACATTTTGGAAAAGAGAGTTGCTGGCACTGAAAAGTAAGGAATGCGATTGTCTTCAGTCCTCTGCGTCACCTTTTTACTTGCTAAAAATGAAGGTTTTATTCTCTAGCTGGCAGAAGGTTAGTGCCTTCTTACACTCACCAGAAGCAACAGTTCGTAACCTGGAAGAAGGGACGCCCTATGAGTTCCGTGTTATGGCGGAGAACTCGTATGGAGTTAGTGAGCCATTGATGACAACCGGAAGCATTAAGCCAAAGCATCCCTTCAGTAAGTTCTCGTGTTTTGTTAATGGGTTGGATGACTGGATCAAGTTACTATTACGAGTGGAAATCTCCTTTCAGATCCACCGTCTGGCATGTCCGAGCCATATGTTGAGGATACGACAGATGACAGTGTTACTCTCTCATGGGACACCCCCACACGTGGTCCAGTGTCTGGCTATATTGTCGAGAAGAAGCCGAAAGGTTCTCGCGAATGGACCAAGTGAGTTCTCGTGCCTGTCCTCTCAGCTTTTCAATCGCCTCTTAGTGCGTAAATGGGTGGCTCAGAAGTTATCAAGGGTTCTGATAGGTTAGTAACACTAACTAAGTGCCGCTACGGTAACGAAGCCCATTGGGATCAACCATAAGGTGGGCCTGAGCATCACAGTCAAGCTCTGAAATGCCTACTAGATGCAATGGTGAATTGTACTTTAGTAATGAAAATTTTGAGTGGAATTTGAGTTTCTGCCAGGGCTGTACTCACAAATTTAAGAAAGTGGGCTTTAAAGAGTAAACTTTGATGCATCAGAAGCCTTTGCCATCGTGGTCACTTACTGGCGAGCTTGCATTGATATGACAATGAAGTATTGCTGCAAGAGGTTAAAAAAATCACCGACTTCAATGTGACATTTGCAGAGCCAATCTGGGCAATGTGACCGGCAACTCCTACACCGTAAAGGGTCTGCCCACGGGCAAGGAGTTCGAGTTCCGTGTTGTGCCTTACAATGCTGCAGGCAATGGTGAACCGAGTGAATCCACCGGTCTTATCAAAGTTCAGAAGCCTGTAGAGGCACCGAAAATCGCTCACGATACACCTACTGAGGTCAATACAGTCCTAGGCCAACCTCTCAAGATTCGTATTCCATTCACTGGCTCTCCTCCTACTGATGTTGAACTGGTTAAGGTGAGTGTCTCTTGATACGATTGCGTAAGACTGCAGAATCCAAGTTCCTGGTGACAGACGTAGTAGGCTTGCAAGTCTGGCTGTAGCATGTGCATTAGGGAGATACAGCAGAGGTGAATAGCATTATTTAGGTGGGGTTTTTTCATTTTGCGTACGTTTATGGGGCAGTGGCGAATCTTCGTAGTCTCCATTAATCATCATGTAGCTCTGTGCTGGAAGCACTATTTTCGATAGCTCTCAAGGTACTTTCTGGAATTTGTTTCCACACCAATTTGGCTCCACTGGCAAACCAGGTTGCTGTCTTTCTACTGATGCCATTAGTGTATCGAATGTTCCCGGGTGCGTTAAAGAGTGCACAAGTTGAGGACTTCCTTTTGTTGTGCATTTGTGCTGGAACTAAGTGAACTAAGAGTGAGTAGAATTGTGGCACCTTGGTCCAATCTATTTTTACTTTATAAATGAAGGCTCCAATATGTACTACTTAAATGGAATAGTAATAAAAGTTGCTGATTTAACTGTTCCACTATTTAAAGGATGGAAAATCAGTGCCCATACCGAACGACCATCTTAAAGTGGAGATTACACCTGATGAAGTTATCATAACTGCTCCCGTCTCAGAGAAGGCTGATACCGGTGTCTATGATGTCAAAGTAGCCAATGAAAAGGGCTCCGATCACAGACCCATCAAAATCAACGTTCTCTGTCCTCCGGACTCACCAACAGGCCCGTTGGGTGTTAGGGAGGTCACTGCCAACTCGTGCAAACTATCGTGGCAACCACCGGCTGTAAGTATTGCCTAGGCGATTTGGCGGGTAGATGGAAGCACCCTCTGAAAATTTTGAAACCTAACTTTATCCATCCCTTGCATGCTTCATTGGCCTACATTTTTACCTCGAATGCCGGATTTGTTGTTCTCTTTGAGGCTACTAGTACTGACGAGAGTATAACATTTTGGCTAGGCTACATATGGGTCGCCGGTAACGAATTACATCGTAGAGAAACAAGATGTTGCAACTGGCGAGTGGACACCAGTAAGCAAGTTCGTACGTCAACCAGAGTACGAAGTCACATCGTTGGATGAGGGCAAGAAGTACAAATTCCGAGTCTCAGCGGTGAATGACTACGGTGTCAGTGAACCCTTGGAAGCGGAACGTGCCATCACTGCAGTTGATGAAGCTGGTGAGTGCGAACCCTTGCCACAGTCATAGGGCCTTGGACGTAAACAATTGGTATCAATGAAGTGCAAGTCGGTTAATGTTTGCAGTTAGAGATTGTGCTGGTCGTGCGGTGTACAGAATATAAGTATTTCAACACTGAAAACCGGTAGATTTGAAGTCCAGTCGTGTTGTAGGAATAATTTTTAAATATTTTGTGGCTACGCTGAGGGAAGTTTTCCGTCACCTTAATTTTCAGTTGCACCGGACGCTCCGCAAAACGTGGATGTCACTGATGTTACGGAGGATAGTGTATCCTTGGAGTGGACAAAACCACGTGGAACTGGCAGCAAACGCCCCACGGGCTACGTCATTGAATACAAAACACCAGACGGTGAATGGACTAGAGCACCTGTTGGGCAGATTAAGGGAACTTCCGCTACTGGTGAGTTCCCGTAAGCAGTAGAATCTTTCAATTTGTCGGACTCTAAACATCCTCCACTCCGTCCATTCATTCAATAATCCCATCCACTTCCTTGTATGTCCGTCCATTCGTTTAACAGCCTGCTTAACCTGAAGTTAACCTCTTTACCACCCAACTATCAACGCATTGTTTTCTGCCTACCTCTAACCACCTTCCTTTTAGCATTCCCTTCACAATCTCGCATTCACCTTTCAGTCACCTCTGATCTGTCGCCAATTCATCCACTCTGTCTTCCACTCATCCATCATATTTGACCGCCTACTACTATCAAGTGCCACAATGAATTTACTTTTAACCTGTTTAGTAAGCGGTTTGGAGAAAGGCAAGCGTTACGCCTTCCGCGTTTCTGCCAAAAACGACGCAGGTGTTGGAGAGTCCAGTCGTCCAACTCCGACTGTCGAATGCAAGCCGAAGTATAGTAAGTGAGGAAGGAAACCAATTAGTGTTAAATCACACAAGTCAAATAGCCTAAATTCCGAATTCCGATGATCGAATGCAATTATTGCTTCGAACAGGTAGTTTTTTCTTTTAATTTTAGCAACTCCTGGGAGCACCAGTATGCCGGCAGTTGATAGCGTTGGTCGTGATTTTGTCAATCTCTCTTGGACTCCACCCAAGCGAGATGGTGGCTCGCGTATAACTGGTTATATTGTGGAGAAGCGTCCTCGTGGTTCTCCGGAGTGGATTCCTGCTACTACCTCTCCAATTGTTGGCACCTCGGCAAATATCAGCGGACTACCGACTGGTGAGGAAATGGAGTTCCGTGTTGTTCCTGTCAACGCTGCTGGTAAGGGAGAACCCAGTCCCGCTACTCCGATGACTAAGATTGAGGATAAACGTGGTGGGTACTCAATTCCTTCCATCAGGTATTTGTTTTTGGCGTTTGAGTAAGTGCTGACGTTATTCAAATTGATCCACTCCAGCTGGAGCAGCAGCCGACTTCATTACCAAATTAACACCAGTTTCGGAGGGCGTCGGAGGTACAGCAGAATTTGTGGTTCAAGTTGATGGCAATCCTACGCCCAGAGTTCGATGGCTCCGTAACGGTTTGGAACTGAATCCGTCCAGCCGAGTAAAGATCACTGGACCCGATGCTGATGGCATGGCGCGACTGGTACTAGACGACCTCAATGAACACGATGGTGGTGACATTACTTGTGAACTAGTGACACCTGTCAATCGGATCGCATGTACTGCACCCCTAGAGGTCTTTAGTGCACCGCGTATCAATGATGAGGTACCGGAGAAAACTGCAGAGGAAGGTGACCTTGTCAAATTCAAGGTTCCATACACTGCCAAAGGCAACATCACCCTCAAATTGCGTAAGGACGGTCGTGAGGTGCCTGAGTCAAACACTGTCAAACTCATGGACCTGGATGGTGTAGCTTCCGTCCAACTCAAAGGTAGACAACCCTTCATTTTTATCACAAATGCCATTGCATTCAACACGTTTTTCTGGGGCGCTTGACCTTCAAACGAATTTTGGAATGCCAGCAATTAACTTGCTCAATTTATTGCTGTCAGTATCATCATTATCATCCCCTTTGATCTACTACGTTCATTAATTTCAGACGTTGATCGCGACATGGCGGGCAAGTATACCCTGGATATATCCAATGAAAGTGGAACTACCTCGGTACCGCTTACTTTGAAAGTCCTTGGTGAGCTTTTGTCGGTTAAATTATTGGTCCAAAATAAGTTTATATTGTTTTTGTCACATCAAAGAAGGTAGTCCCAATTATTCCAATTTTACCGAATTAGAAGGACTTGTACTATTCCAATAACGTGAAATAGGGATCTACTCGGATTGTCGAGTCAGTCTTGATCGTGTGGATGATTCTGTGTTCCAATCAATGGATGAAATGCTCGTCTGTGATGTGAACTTTCACCTTTTATCCACATAGGCGAGCCTGACTCATGCCAAGGGCCACTTCAGGTTACCGACACGACTCCCTTCAGTACTCGCCTCTCGTGGAAACCACCACGCAGCGACGGTGGTGCCAAGGTGACGCATTATGTGGTGGAGCGGCAGGAGGTGGGCAAGGATAATTGGGTCACCGTCCAATCAGCTTGCACCTCACCCTCCTCAGAGATTCAGGGTCTCACAGATGGTGCTAGCTACAACTTCCGTGTTGCCCCTGTCAACGATGTTGGACAAGGACCTTGGCTCACTACGACCACTCCGATTGTTGCCAAGTATCCATTCGGTGAGTATACGCTTTCATTGCTTCTTAAAACCATCCCTGAACTAAAAGGCAATTATCGTTCCGTCACCTCCTTCAGACAAGCCATCGACACCAGGCCCGGTTTCAGTCTCCGATGTGGGCTCAAACTTCGTCAATCTCACGTGGTCACGTCCATCCAGCGATGGTGGTGGTCGACTTCTGGGCTACTTCATCGAGAAGCGTGAGGTTGGTGCACCAAATTGGACCCGGGTGAATGTCAATCCTGCCCTAACCCTCTCATACAACATACCGAATCTCATTGAGGACAAGTCCTACGAGTTCCGCGTAATTGCTGTCAACGATGCTGGTGAAAGTCAACCCTCTGTTATTGGAAGTCCGGTTCTTGTCAAGGATCCACTGAGTAAGTGTGCCAGAATTCCTCCTCAAGGCTTATTTGAAATTGCATGGTTTAATGCTTTTGCTCTCTCCCTTTTACCTAGGCTGCGATACACCACAGTTACTGCGTCCATTGAAGCCTATCACTGTCAATGAGGGACGTGATGCAGAATTTGAAATTGAGGTGAACTGTTCATCACCTTACGAGGTCACGTGGTACAAGGGCGATCGTGAACTTGTGCCATCGCATAGAATTGACATGTCTCGAGAGGGCCGTATGTGCACCTTAACGATTGCCGATTGTCAAGGCGAGGATACTGACGACTACAGTGTGAGGGTCTCCAATCGCGGTGGCACAAAGTATAGTCGTGCTTCACTCGCTGTCAATAGTAAGCATCTGGATGAAATTCTAGCCATTTTGACCGGTCGATGTTTGGATATTTACTGAGAATACAATTTGATGCAAACTTTAAAATATTACCATTAAAACTGTTCCTCCTCCTCCCTAGCTAAACCACAAATCAATCTGCCAAGCCGATGGCAAGAGCCGACGGACTGGGAGCGGGGTGATACTATTCAAATTAAAGCACCCTTCGTGGGATATCCAACACCTCGTGCCACCTGGAAATTAAATGGAAAGGAGTTGCGCGAAGGAAAGAACGTACAGATGGAGATGAAACGTCGTCATGCCGTTCTTACACTCTCCAATGTGGATGAGAACACTACTGGTAAAGTGGAACTGGTCTTGGAGAACTCAATGGGCAGTGACTCCGCCACTATCGATTTGCGCGTCCACGACCGACCTCCACCACCCTACGACGTTTGTGTGGAAGGCACTTCTGATGGGTGTGCCCTGCTCTCCTGGAAGATGCCTCCGGACTCGGGTTACGTCTCCGAGTACATAATTGAACGAGCGGAGGCGCCAGGAGATAATTGGATTCGTGCTGGTATCAGCCGGTAGGACAAATTCCTTTATCACCACTCTCACCTGTTTAGTTCTTCAAGCATTAATTAACATTGTACTTTACAGCTTCTCTCCCTACAACTGTGAAGGCCTACAAAATGGTCATGAGTATAGATTCCGTGTCTATGCTGACAATCTCCATGGTCGCAGCGATCCCAGTGAGCCCTCTGAACCGGTTTTGATTAAGCCTGAGGAGAAGACACGCAACAAACAGAGACGAAGACTTGGTGATGGTGAACCCAGAGGCTCCTACGATGGTCCACCGATCACCGATTATGATAGATTTTGTGAGTTGGGCTTGCTCTATCTGCGTGAAACCTTGATAACTTTATGCAATGCTACGAGCTTATGAATTTGAGAGGTGGAAGGACTAATGGCTAGATGACTCCAGCGAAATCAAACATTGTCTTGGGACTCAAAAACACAGCATGTAGTTCGCATTTTGTATCAAGTGTTGTCCACCTCTACGCCAAAAGTGGCACGATTCCACGCTCTCGACTCCTAACGTTAAGGAAGACGTGTGTTCTCTGGTTGAATGTTTCACTGCTTTGGTGGTTCAAAGAGGCATTTTCCCGTTTCTAGATGAGGGTCTGTGGCGGAAAGGAGCCCCGCTGCCGACCAACTTTAATTCTGGAAATATCTACGATTACTACGACATTCTTGAAGAAATTGGCACGTACGTTTCCGCACTACTTTTTTTTACAAGACCCTAGCTACATCAATTTCTGATCCCTTCTACTTCCATCTACAATATTCCTAACAGAGGATTGGCAATCATAAGTGCTTTGGATGCCTTTTATTTTCGTTAAAAAGAGAATGAAGCATTTTACGAATTGTTTCAACTTTTAGTGGCTCATTTGGAGTTGTACACCGAGCTAAAGAGAAGGCTACGGGACGCACCTACGTGGTTAAATTCGTGCCCACGCCTACGGAAGCGGAGCGGAATGCTGTGAACAATGAGGCGAACATAATGAAACAACTGAACCATCCAAAACTTTTGCACCTTCATGAGGTCTTCTCAGAACCTAACGAAACTGCTTTGGTTCTCGAATTGTACGTCATGAGAGTGTCCACATAATTTGTCTTTTCCTTTAACCAAGCAGACTGATTCCTTTAGGGAGGCTTATGAATTGTTGCTGGCTGATTGTAATCCCCGACTTTTCTGTTTACAGTCTCTCTGGAGGTGAGCTGTTTGATAGAATCGCGGACGATGGCTATACCATGAATGAGGCCGAGGTGATTAAGTATATTCGACAACTGCTCGAAGGTCTGCAGTACATGCACGAGAATCACATTGTTCACCTCGATATCAAGGTGAGTTCGTGAACAGATAGAAGTGCATCTTGTAAAATTTGTGTGTGGTATAAGGGGAAGAGGCTTGGCGAAATTCGCTATATTCCTTCCTCTTGGTTTCTATCAGCCCGAAAACATCATGTGTGAGACCAGCCGTTCCACTGACATCAAGTTGGTTGACTTTGGCCTCGCCACGAAGCTGAATCCTCAGGATGAGGTGCGAGTGACCACTGCAACACCTGAATTCGCAGCTCCTGAGATTGCTGATCACAATCCTGTTGGTTTCTATACCGATATGTGGGCCGTTGGTGTGCTTGCCTATATCCTCCTCTCCGGTACTTCTCCGTTTGCCGGCTCTGATACCATGGAGACCCTCCGCAATGTCAGCCGAGCCTCTTATGACTTCAATGATGATGCTTTCCGAGATGTCTCTGATAAAGCAAAGGACTTTATCTCGAAACTACTCATCAAAGCTCCGGAGTATGCATAACTGCAGTTTCTATACCTTTAGACGAATAAGCATATCTGGTGTTTCAACAAGTTCGACTTAATATGGACTGTCTACTCATTTAAATTTAAGTAGTAACCCTTCTGTAGCTCGACTAAGGTATAAATAGATCCGATATTTCTATATCACAATTTGCTTATTTTTTGTAAGTGAATCACATCCTAAAGGTCAACTTAATTACACTTGATAGTAGGTAATTATAACTTTGCTTCCTTTAACTCCAGGAAACGTATGACCGTTTTTGAAGCTTTGAACCATCCCTGGCTCAGCACCGAGGTTACTGAGGATCAGCGGCATCGCATTCCGTCCAAACGCTACAATACAGTTCGTCAACAAATGCATGAACGTATTGTAAGTTTTCTTCTCTCTTCAGGAAATTTTCATAAAATGCTCATCTTTCTAATTGCTCTGATAATTTCAGGGTGACAGTTGGGATCGCAAGCCAGCTATCGGACACCTCTCGAATTACAGTGGTATTCGTCGCCTCAAACGTGATGACTATAAGATTTACTCCACTCATTTCGGTTAGTAGTTGCTTCCAGGGGGAAAAAGTATAATTGCTGCTGGTCCTATTATTTCTCGTCTTCCCTCCCATAGATCATCGTGAAGCTGGTCCCAGGTTCATTCGCCATCCCACCGGCCAAACAGTTATCGAGGGCAACACGGCTCAGTTCGATTGCCGTGTCATTGGTGTCTCTGAACCAGTGATCACATGGTACATGTTTTGGTTCTTACTTTGCTTGAATTACTCAGGCCACAAAAGTAGGCTGACGTTTGGACTTACGGATTTCTCATACCCAGGGTATACCGAGGCACACCTCTGAGCCAAAGTCTCAAGTATATGCAACGCTATTCAGGCCACGACTACTCCCTCAAGGTCAGTCGAACAAAGCGATCTGAGGATGAAGGCGAGTACATAGTCCGTGCAGAGAACAGCTTCGGTCGAAAAGAGAGCTCCGCATACCTCATTGTTGAGCCTGTTAGAGAAACAACTCGAGGTAAGCTGGTACTACCGCCTTCCACCATGAGGATTATTTTGACTTCAGTCAAACAAGGCTGCTTGCAAGGATAAAAGCACGTCTGTTTTGCTTTGTTATTCTTCACTTAATTTGCACCAACAGTTTGGGGCTAAAGACATGCATGCGATTTGCATAAAGAAGTAGTAGGACACAATTAACGCAGGAAAGCATTCACGCATGCAAGTAATAGTGGTAACTCTCTTCGAAAAGTCGTCAATGCGGGTACAAAAGAGGGTGACACTAATCACCACTCTTGTGTCGGCGTGTTTTTATCATTTGTGTGTAAACGATTGTTATGACTTTGGTGAGAGGAAGTGTTAATTCTCGAATGAGTTGATAGAGATCAGTGGAAAATGCTTTTTACGGTTGATAGTTTAGTGATTGTGAATGAATGTCGTTGAGCGGACCATTTATCTTCCAGTCATTATGCAAAAAGTGAGGCATTAGACGGTCCTTGAAGGATGTCAATTTTGAATTGTTTGTGGTGTGGTGTGGTGTGTGTGAGTAGTCAAAGGGGACCAATAAGAACTGCCTAAAACAAGGAATAATAAAAAAAAATTGGAGGTGAAATTTGTGTCTCGTTGAATGCTTCCGTGTTGTTGAAGTCCAAGCCTTCCTCAAGTTGTTCGATTCGATGTAAACACGCTGCTACTATTTGATGTTCCCTCAGAACCCTCCGTAATGCCAAAGAAGAAGTTTGTTCTGAAGGAGTATGAAGTTATTCTGCCGGAAGAATTCCCTCCACGATTTTCACTATCGTTGAGAAATCGTTTCATCCAAGATGGACATTCCGTGAAACTCACTTGCACTGCTGACGGAAATCCAACTCCACAACTCACCTGGTTCAAGGTTTGTTGATGATTTTGGTAACCTAAGACAGGGCGAGAGTGAAGTGAGAAAATTCGTGATTGTTTGTCTTTGTAGGATGGAAGTAAAATTGAACGAGGTGGAGATTACGACATTCACACAATGCTGGGTATCTCGTCATTAGAGATTTACAGTTGTAATGAACGACATTCGGGCAAGTACACCTGTCGGGCGAGCAATAAGCTCGGTGAAGATGAGACTGTTTGCAAACTCGTTGTTGAACGTAAGGCGTTCAAGACTCTGTTAAATGTGCCAATAAATTGACTAGCTTTTAAACTAAAACAACTCTCCTTCAGCGAATCGTGTAAGGCGACTGCTAGCCTCAACAGCTGAGGCTAGGGGAATGCGAGCGTCCAGCACAATGCCCTATCCTTCAACCTCAGATACGTATAGATCCACGTCCACCTGGCGTGAGTCGTCAATCACGGGAAATAGAACTGTCACAACCACTACTACTGTCACCCGTACCAGCTATCGATCATCAGAGAGACGCTCGTCGGGCCTTCGTGAGGTCTCACCTCAACAGACGCCTCCCGTCTTGCAGAGCGCCATTGAACCGCCCGTTGATCTCCACGAGGGCGACACACTCGTGCTGGAGGCACGATTCCTTCCCGCGGAACCAAGTGCTTCCATCACTTGGAGCGTGAATGGACAGGTGACTTTTTTGTAGAAAGGCAATAAGACCGCAGAATGAAATAAGACGTGGGTGGAAATGCGTTATGAAAGGCGATCCAAGGCGTGTGTGCCACCTAATATGCGCACATCGACGAATGTGCGTTACACGAATTAAGAGCGAATGATTAATCCACCCCCATTTGGTGATTTTCCTGCAATATGACGAAAGCAAAGCATCGAAGTTGAGCTAGCACACATTTATCACAATTGTATACACTGTCTACACTGAAAGTGAGGATTGGTAGCATTAAATGTATACTCCAAAGAGCATTGAAAGTCTTGCAAAACTTCTAAACCTCCAAACTGTGTAGGTTGATCACAGTCATGACATTTGACGTTGCAAATTGAGATGAGTGGAAATGATGTGGCTCTTTTGGGGCTGTCATGTTTGCAGGAGGTGACATCGGATGGTCACATAAGCATTAGAACCTCCAGCGACGGTTGTCGAAGCACCCTCCGAATTGCCGATCTCACTCGTGATGACTCGGGAAGTTACGAGTGCAAGGCGTCTAATGCTGTTGGTATTGCAAGGACCAGAACCGAGTTTACCATCCAAAGTGAGTTTTTGAGAGGATTTATTGCATCATCTCATTAATAATTAATTTCTTCTTTCATAGTTCACGATTTTTAATCCTTCGCTGTTAGGAAAAATGCAGCCCATAATGGAAAATGCAAATTCCTTTGCTCCGCTGAATGACTTTTCTACCATCGAATCGTTTGGAGTTAAGGGGACGCTCCTGCCTCTCAATGAAGTGGTGGAGAACGGAGAGCCCGTTGATCATGAGTCCGTCGAAGTTGATCATCACGTGAATGGAGAGGCCACAGAAGTGCAGTCCGACTTCAAACCTCAAGTGCCCATATTGTTGCGCCAACTTCAGGGTCAGATTGTTGAACTGGGTGTAGAATCGGTGTCCTTCAGTTGTGAGTTCAAAAATGCTACCGGAGTTGGGTGGTCCTTCAATGGAAAGGCCTTGGCTCCGGATGACAAGTATGACATCCTCATGGCAGGCAATGAGGTCATACTCACTATCAAGGATGTTGAACTTGACGACTCCGGTATCTACGTGTGCTATGCTGTCAATACCGATGGTCGTGTCACGACTGTGGGCTACCTCTCGGTCAGAGGTAGGTAATCATCTCTGAATTGAACTCCTTCATTCACCCAACTCACCATTTACCCACAGTTTGCTACAAATGTATCAATTTTGGCAACAAACTCTGCATCCAGCTCATATTTACCCTGTGAAATAAAGGGCTTGAAATTGTCACCTTGATCCCACATAATCCATTAAATTACAGATCCACAAAACCCTCTTCCTGGACCACAATTTCTCACCTTTCCAAAGTCCATAATGACCACCTCCGACTGTCCTATCGAACTGGAATGCTCATTCACCAGTCCTATTAACAGCCGTAAGTTCTCACCCATTTAAGTAGCATGAATTGCACCTTTTCATTTTATCAATAAAAAGTTTTAAGGAGATTTTTTATCCGAAATACAATTGCTGGTGTAGCGAATGTTTTAAAGTCGTCATTGCGTCTGTGGTGCTTGTGTAGTGATGCTATGCCAGAATGAGTTGGAAATGGAGGAGGCTCAATCTGTCATCTCGGAGGATGGATTGTCTGCCAAGATTTCTCTCCCTGGAGGTGAACTAATTCCAGCCGATAGTGGAAAATACGCCATAATTGCTCAGAATGCTGAAGGCGAGCATTCGGAGTGGTGGATCGACATTCAGATCAAACCTGCAGCCAAGTCAGCCTAGGGGTATGTGATCGGTCACTCCTCTCTCTCTCTCTCTCTCCTCTCCCATCTTGTTGCAGTCGTGATGTGTGTTATTCTCCGATGTCACTGCACCATCAAATGCATGCACACAGCTACCCATGTGACTTTCCCAAGGGATTGAGAGAAAGGGCTCATGTGATGTTATTGTCAAATGTGGTGGTGCTTTGATGTGTCATTACTACTCTCTCTCTCTCTCTCCCTCTCGTATGCACTCTCTAGACCCTGCAATTGTGCATCTTCTCCTACTGCAGACGCTTTATTATTAGCTATGAGGAAGGGGAAATGAAATAGTAAATAGCTCATCTTATGCTTGTAGACTCACTTCAACCGGGATGGAAGTCGCTCGTGTGCTAGCAGAGGACGTCAATGCACCTCTACAACAATCCTGCCAACCGTTGCTTTTGTCAAAGGGTCGTTTCGAACGTCTTCGTAAAGCTTTTTCGCAAACCTCATCCCTGTACTTAGCTCTCCTCTCTCCTCCTCTCCTTTTCAATCTCCTCCTCCTCCTTCTCCTCCTTATCCTCTACCTCCTAGCCGCGGCTCTCCAGTGGAACGGATAATTCTTGTCCCTTCGTTTCCATCCACCTCCTCCCCTCCCCCCCCACACCTTTGCTCATCCATATTTATTTTTCTCCCTCTTTTTCATCCTTCTCTCCACTTCTCCATTTCGTTGAATCCTTCTACTTGCCTTTCGTGGATACCCCAAATTAACCTACCTGTCCACTTATCAACCTACTTGATACGAGTATATATATATTATACATAGTATGATGCTGCGATACGGATGTTGAACAGTTTATTTATTTATCTCCATGCGTGAAGAGAACTTCCCAGTTGTCAAAGAGTATGATAAAAGTTGGTAATGCTATGCCTTTCACTGCCAGATGTGTACCCCGCTGCCTCTGTCCTCCCGCTGCCCCCTCCCCCTCCTCCACCCCAACTTTCCTCACCCTCGGCACTCTCTTGATAACAAATAATGCGCTAAAATACATTTTTTTCGCTTATTACCTTCTTGAACTCTTTTTATGCACTGCTTACCTTCTTCAAGAGTCGACGCTTTTTACTAATTCAAATACTCGGATGATTCAAGTTTTGCTTCGACATGTGTGGCCTCTACGGTTGTGCAAACCCGCCCTAAGGGGCGAAAGAAGGTCTTGTAAGTGATTTCACCTGTTGGTTGGTTGGCTGTTGTGTGTTTTACGCTCATTAGGAGCTTTTTATTGCATCATGTCCGTCATCGGTTGGGTCGCAGCCTTGCAGGATGATTCCACCATGCCTTTGAGCTTAAGCGGACGTATCGACTGACTGCAGCACCAACGCCTGCAAAAATGAGATGCAGAAGTTGTTTGAACTCTCGGAGAGGCTTCTATTTCTGTGGAAAGACAACGCAATCATTCTTAGGCGTCAGGTGTTAAGCCCCTCACGTCGTGCATTGTAGTGACGCTAAGTCGCTCTTCTGTGTCAAGAGTCTATTTCTGTGCTCTCCATAATCAAATTTTTGTTTGCTTTCTTGAGTGTTTGTGAGAGAAAAAGGGACTTAGCTCGTCATATTTGCTCACATTACTCTCTATTGCATGGGCTTATCAAGTGATGTCACTCCATGCTAATCATTTGTAGCGCTTCCAGGACTTCATGAGTAAATACAAACCTCTCCCAACACCCCTGCTAAGCTGACGCTACCCTTTTGGTATAAATTGCCATTCAGACTGACGAAAAAAGAAGTGAACTGTCCTTCCATTTCAAATGGAAAGGTGAATTTGAAATGCAAATGGTGTTCTTTCCTCTATGCACATGCTTAAATGCTTTTTTGAACCCCTCAAAACCATCCTCCGCCTCATTGCCAGATTAAATACGTAGAGGTGGTTAATTGCCGGACGAGGGTCAACAGGAGAGTGTTTTTTTTTAACAATCACAAAGGTGTTCATTTTAGGTTGAATTACTTGCCTAGGAAATTACTAACACCTGCGCTAAAGCGTAATTAGGTGGAGTTAAAGCCCTGATAAACTGTAGGGCCTGAGACTGCTCTCTCTCTCTCCCCTCCGTATCTGCGCAGTAGAGGCTGTAGTTCACACAAACACGAAACTCAAATTCGACCTTCCGAGCAGCATAATCGTATTTAGCCTCTTGGTGGCGATGATAATAGTGGCGATAGAAGGGTTTCTCCAAGTTTATTTTACAAATCGTGCGATAACAAGGTAATGGTACGCAAAGTATGTATACAAGGGTTGGGTGACCTGCAGCGCAGGCACGATAAGTTAGCAGCACCGCCACTAGTGTCTGCTAAGTCGAACATCTTCTCCTTAAAAACTGCTTTGTAGAGAAGAGCATAGTATGGGAAGCAAAAGTGGAGGTATATAAATGAGTCCTTGAAGTGCAATTCTAGCACATTGGTAGCGCTTTTGGAACCCCATATGATGGTGGTTGGTGGCTACTTAAATTCGTCTATAAGTAGCAAAGGTGGAGACAAATATAGAAATTTGGAGTTAATAAAAATTAAGTGATAATGGCCTCCTTGGCTTGTAAATGCTTCCTTAAAGAAGCATAAAAGATGAATGGATGTGCAATATGGTGATTTGGAGTGCTGCCACTGACTTTTTACCTTTCTTTGAGCGGACCGCTCCCGCCTTATCAAATATCCCCACTATTAGCACCACAGATGATGTCTTACCTCGTCTACTCGGTTCAAATTTCAGCCCAAGTGCGCGGAGTGAGGTCTGTGTTCTGTAGCATGGTGTATAAAGGACATAGATCAAATGATTTGGCCAATTTTTGGGAATGACTGATCTAAATCACCTATCGCTACGACCCACTTTCCAGTTTAAAGGAATTGCATAGCAAGAACAACTGCCACCATAAATAACAGAGCGAATTTTGAGGATCGCGTTAGTAGTCAAGGTCGTGACAGCTGCCAATGAAATGGTTGTCACATGGGTGATGATGAGAAGAGCTCCTTCCCTCCCTCAAGTATAAAATTGCTTTTCTCGTGGGTACTTTATTTTCACTTTGACTCAACTAGCATCAATCTTTTGAGCCACCACTTCATGCTTCCACTTGCCTCTCCTCCTCCAAACGGTGGGAGACTGCGTGATTAGCTCAAATCAAGTGGAAACGCTAACCAACTTCTTGTCTGCCAAACACATCAGACATTTGGCTACTCAATCAATTTCCACCATGACTACGAACACAAAACTAACCAATTTAATTTTTTTTTTTGCAAATCACAACCGCATTGACCCATGTAGGTGCCTCTCTGGTACGACTTGATGCGATCAGCTATCTTAAGTTTGTGCCATCGGCTGTAGGGCGTCAGACATGTGTGACACTTCCTGCAATCACAACAACCAACTCAATTGACAATTTATTGCTCATTCGCGTTGTGTAGTGATTCAGTGCAGCCTATGAAGTGCAGCATTGTTGAAGGTGCGATTTTGGAGCACACCGACCCCACCCAATGACCTCACCATAATGTGGAGCCAGCTCAGGTTGTGTGCCAATTTCAAGTTCATTTGATGCATTAAATATGGCACAACTTAAGCCGGTTCTGCACTCATTGTGTAGTTTAAAGCTCTCGGTTGTTCATTGGAAAGTACTAGTCAAAGAAATCATAAACGGCATTGACATCCTGTCGCACCTCGTGTCTAATCTGTTGCGTATGCTCTAGAGGTTGGAAGGCAAATTTATGTTGCATAGTGAGAAAAACGAATCCCAAATTAAAAGTGTGTTATAGCCAAAAAACCGCGTAAATAAAAATGTGCTTCTGGGTGAAGGGCGCATGTAGTCTGCCACCGAGGTCCCATTGTACTCTCTTATTTACTCCACTGCTGAACGACTGACGGTTAATGTGGTGATCATCTTGCCGGCCTTAGCACCATTCCTCATGCCTTCTGCTACGAGACGGAAGGTCTCGTTGCCGGCAGCCGGGCTCGACGTGGAATGCGTGTGTGAGTCAAGCCCGATGCATCTGACGTCAACCACTGTACGCACTTTCCTCACTCTTGCCACTCAATGATTTTGTGTGAGTAAGACTACGGGGCAGGGTTTCTTTGAAACGTGAGAAGCATAGTTTGTGGCGGCAAATCTCGAAATTCGGTCAAAAGCCAAATTATTTTGCTTCTTCATTATGATGCAATGCAGCAGCATTGTGATCTAGGAGGTCACATTGACTGTCTGCAACGATAGCTCTCCATTGCATGCTTTGCTTGTAATTACACACGTGTTTCTTTTTAAACAGAAAAGTCACCAAAATAGTGGAATCTTTTTTTTTTTAATTTTTGGGAATGGTCTATCATTAAGTTGCGTCTCGGTAGATCCAAAGTACAAATGCTTTGGTAATGACTAGTTTGGTAAAATCTTGTTATAATGTCAGACAACGCTGTATTTCGTCATTTTTTTCGCCTATCTGACGCACCATAAGGACGGGTCTTTGGTCCTACCAAGACCAAATGTATTAAGCCATGCTTACTGCCCTGTATTACGGAATAGGAGGTCTCGGTACACTACAAATAATTCCGCAATTTGAACGATTTTGAAACCCAACTTTTAGCCCCTTGATTTATCCTCTTGTTTACAAAAAACAGAGTAAAAACAGCAAAAATTATATTACTATCGTTGTTTTCCAAATGTATCCATTATTACATATAAAACATGACATCGATATCGAAAGGCATAAATTTCTGGTCGAAATAGCCCAAGCGTGTGTGAGTGTATGGATTAATCTTGCAACAGCGAGCAGATGACTGGGAAGGAAGGTTAGATAGTTTAGTACTCATAGACTTCACTCAATTTACCGCCAGTTCCATTGGTTGCATGACTGGCATTGTTACTCCCGCTTAGCATCATAAATCTCTCCAACTCCTTATTCTCGTCTTGACTGTCTTCACTATCCGATGAGGAGCTGTCGTCACTGTCATCGTCACTGAAAGAGTCTCCATCGCTGTTTTCTGAGTAATAATTGTCATAATCATGATCATCTCTGGGCACCAGTTGGTGCGCTGTGTACATGTAGATCGGTCCGGATTCATCTTCAACACAACCCACTAGAGGATCATGCTTGATGTAGCAAATATTCACCTCCCATGGGGTATTATTCTCATCGAACTCCCTCGTTACCTTACGTCCACCACTCAGGGTGCTAAGTTCTCTCGGTGCGCGGTTTTTGGGCTTCTTCTGTTTCGTAGTACTGCTCGGTGACTTCACTGGCTTCTCTGCCTCCTGTCCATAGTAGACCACAGAGTCAAGCGTCTCCACCTTCGTCTCGGAATCATAGGTTGTTTTAACGTAATTACTCCGATAGCTTCCATCATTCGGAGTTGAGATCTCATTGTCCACCTTTTCGCTTGAAATCTTCCTCCTATTGACGCGTTCTGAACGCAACCTTGGTTCTGAGAGATCTTCAGACAATTTAGGGGTAATAACCTTCTGAACTTGTTGGGGTTCTTGAGCTTTTGCAGTTGGAGGACTTGGAGCAGGCCTTCGTTTCTGATAAGGGGAGGAGGAGAGATTGGCGGAGGATTTTCGCGATTCCACGTAATCACCACTCACTGCTTGTTGGTAGCTGACCGGTCGAGTTCCATTGCCCACGAGTGAAGTTGTATTCTGTGCCAGGCGTTGATGTGCCACCGCAACGTGTTTTTGCAGTACACTTAGAAGGTGGTTGGCATAACTTGGACCTTTGGTTTTAACCACGACTAACTCCGTTTTCGTTCTATCCGCGTTGGTGATTAGAATGAGAACTTTGGCTGGACGTCCAGGACAGGATGAGAACTGGAGAACGTTGTCGTAGGACAATTTGGCGACAGCTGGTCCGTAGAGCCACCAAGAGCCTTTAGCCAACACTAGACCATCTTTGGTGGATTGTAGTTTGGAGCTCATTCGCTTTTCATCATAGTTTTTGCCAGCAAGAATCTGTAAGCATTGATTGTATATGTCACCAAGATTGCGGGTTAGAAGGTCCTCTCGGGGATTGATGGGTATACGTTTTGTTAGTTTGACTGTAATCTTAAAGTCTTCAGCTGTAGGTAGAAATGACGACATGGCTCCTGATGGGAGTATGTAAGTGTGGCGCTAAGAATGAGCAGTGAAGTAATGGATGTAGGTGTGTACACTCACTGGCTTATGGTGCATGTGATTTCTGCTGATTGGATAGGCAGAGGGAGCGAATCAAACGGATCCGGTTCACTTCAAGATAACACACTGTTGGGTGGGTGCGTGTGTGCAAGGGATTTTGAGTGATCAAACTCTCTGTTTGCTATCTTGGTAAATCCTCCTCCACTTTCTAGACACAAGTCCTATTGAACACTAACAAGATAAAGTTGGTTCTCAAGGTAATACGCAATAAAGACAACAGATTTTTGACAAGGCCAATCAGCATACTACTCTTAACTGTTAAACTAGGTTAGCAAGACAATTCCGGTCTCATACATTAGTCAAGCACAGAATAATTTACTGTTTACTAGGGACAATAATAAGGGAATAAAGAGGCTATTTGCAGACGGGTTTTGCTTGGCTGAATCTTTCGCCCCTGGCTCATTTTAATAGCACACCGCCTATTGGTAGCCTTCAATACGTGTTCAGCCTATGTAATGTGTTCAGTATCGTTCCAATATTGCCATCTTAATCCATTAAGTAAATTTTAATATATTGTTTGTGTGACCGTCCGATGTCTGGCAGTTACTATGGCCTTTGCCACGTCCTTGTACGCGCAGCCTGACCTTCGAGCTGAGCCAACCCTCCACCTCCCCTTCTTCCTCCAATATATATGCTGCTGCTCAACTCAATACCCGCTCCTACCCAATTGGAAGTCTCGTGACACCACACCAGTGGCAGCAGTTTGCCAACCCGACTTCGTTTAACGACTTCTATCCTAGCACTCACCTCTCGTCTCATCTGCCTACGGTGTGGAGGGAGCGCACATCCTGTGGGTAGGACTCTGTCCGCATTATTCTCAGCACAGGTGGTGAGAATGATGTCTACACTTGGTTCCACCTTGTACTCGTGTCGCACAGCAAAACTAGTAATAACTGAAGCGACATCA